AGCATAGAAATTAAATTTACTCTTGTTTAGAATAAACATTTGGTAAATGTGCTGCTTGTTCAATATGAAGTATGACTGAGAAAATATTATTTGTTATTGTACGAAGTGCATGATCATTCGAAGTATCGAGATCACTTCGACCCTAAAAAAAATATAACTATAATAAAATATCAATAAGCTTTGGGATAAAGTGGGATGTCCTTTGTAAGTCTTTCGCGCCCTCTATCCTAAATATAGGATCATAGTGAAACTGATGAGTACATGTTCTCAACTATTCAATCGTTTTTGGCTTGAAATTATTGCCATTCGATCGGCCATAATAAGCAATGAAAAACGACGTCCATTTTGATCTCATTTCCCGAGTTATCGGCGTTTCACTAACCCACACCAGGGCTCCGGATGGGATGGGATTGTCCCATCCCATGGGACACGTTTTTTCTTCAAATATCCCATGGGATTGGATGGGATGAGTTTCTTGTCCCATCGGATTTTCATGTTTTTTCTCATGAGAAAATAGTGTCTTTCTGGTTGAAATAATGGATTCAAAATACTTTACAAGAATAATAAGTCGTAATATTTGTATTTCCATTGTTGGCCTTCTTTTTCAATAAAAATCATTTTGCTTCTTAGTTTCTTGTTGTATTCTTTTGTGCGAAAAGTTGTAATATTTTTAGTGAAATTTAGATAATGCTCCCTAAAATTAAACTTAGAAAATCTGCGTGCTTTAAGCTCGTCAAAGTTGTTGATATCTCCCATCATAACTATTAATTACGTGGATAAGAAGCCGTATTCATGAGGACTCTAAATTACTTCTACTTCAAATGACCTTCCAACATAAATTTAAACTATGCTCTTAGTTAAAAGAAAAATCAATGAATATTCAGAAAACTTTGATGAGTTTTACTGGGTCTCAACAACTACAGAAATCATCAGCCAACTGAGAACGAAAATAGTCGATTTGATTGCACCAAAACAGGATGCGTTTTAAGCAATCTCTACGATGCACTGCAAAATAAGCGTGGCTATTTTCTGACGCTTAGCAATATAGAATTCAGATATTGTACGAAAGAGTGAATCCTGAATTTTGTGAAATCTAATAACTTGAAACGTATCTCAATAAATTGCAATGAATTTACTACGGGATTCGTTGAAGTTCATTAAGATTCTAACATAATTAGCTCCTAAGCCTGCTATTTAGCAACTCAATAGGATTTGTGGTCGATATAAAAAATAAATGTAAAATAAACAGATCTAATTGGTAACACAGAAGGAAACTGAGATGATTGAATAAGGAAATCAAGGAAATCGATTCAAGTCTTTAAAAGTCATTTTATATTCTTTTCGTCCCATGGGACCCATGGGATGGGATGGGAGGAGATTTTTGTTTTGGAAATCCCATACGATGGGACGGGACGAATCATTTCGTCCCATCCCATCCCACCCGGAGCCCTGATCCACACCCACACCCTTATCTTTAAATGATGTATAAAATTGTTCTAATGATATTTTAACAATGCCAATGATTTTATCAGCTGGACCAGAAATCTTTTTATCCCATACTTCAATTACAATAAAATTATTATGCATTTTTTTTAATGTTGATTTTGCAAGTAATATTGGGATTTTCTATAACTGAAAATTAAAAAAATGATATTTTTATACTTGGTTTCTCATAAATATGAATAAGAAATAAATGTATCAAACGTACTGCTTCGAATAGATGGATATCAATCCTTTAATAAACACTATTATATTCGTTTTTGGTATAACAGCAGATCATAGCAATTAAAAAAAAACAAGTCATTGGCTGAAATAAACCAGATGTAATCTCGTAACCTATCTGTTTTAATAAACGCGTTCTGTCTGCATTCTTTTTTACAGTATCAATCTGCTGGAACTGACCCGCGGCTAGATTAATATTTATAGATTTATTGCTCAAATCGAAATTTGATAGAACCTATTTGACGAATAATCATCATTCACGATCTATACATAGAGATATCTAGTTTCGGCTTACTAACTACCGACTCAATCTATGTTCGTCTTCTTTTTGTATTGAACTTTACAATCTATTTAGATAGGTACAAGGTTG